AATGCGTGCTAACAAAATTGATAGTTAACAAATTAAGGACTTAATCAGGCTGTTGCTGGAGATGTGGTCAAGAATTATTTCTACCTAATAACTGTATACAATAACTAATTCAATATGTCTGGACATTTATTTCCCTGTATTACCTGGTGGCAATTTTTCTAGTCCTTCCCAGACAGAAATCCTCCCCAGTATGTTTAAATCCCATGATATGCCTGGCAACTCATGTATGTTGATTAGGAGCAGAAACAGAAATTACTTGACTGCATTAGCAGCTGTTAATCTGAGAGTATTGCCAGAGAAAATAATGTCTCTTAGTGTTTCTGTTAGAAAATTTGTTTTCTTTTGATCACAGTCATGCAATTCATTGTAATCATCCTCAGGCATAGTTTTCAAACCTACTACCATTGTCCAAAGCTTACCCTTCAACCAAGTGGCTAAAGAACATATTTTTCAAAAATTCTTAATATGTTATTAATACTGTATTATAAACTGGAATTTCTTGTGGTTTTTGGGGTTTTTTTTCTTCTTGTCTTTTTCCTCCCCTCTTCCTCTTCTGCATTCAGTGCTTCAGTATGTATTCTGAGTTGCTAGTCTGGCTTGAATGAAAAGTACTGTGTGTTTGTTGTGTGTCTGCATGTGTGATACCAACTGTCGAAGACTGTTTGATGTTAGATGAGGGCTTATGCGTAGAGCTGTTCTACAGTTGGCTCTCTGGCAGAATCTCTCCTTGCCAATGAAAATGATCTATCTGTGTGGGGAGAGTCTGTTTTATAATATTAAACTTGCCATGGCCTTAATTTTACTGATGGGGCATGATTATGATTTCATTTACATTAATCAAATTCATGAGTCATTCCATTCATGTCAATAGCATTAAAGAGCTATACAGACAAGTAAGAGTACAGAATCAAGCTTCTGGTGTTTAATCTGAAAGCATATCTGAATCACTTCATTAAAGACAGAAACTGAAGGGTAGATCCTCTGCTTACTTTGCATTACTCAGTCATGCCATTAGCATAAAACATCAAATAAAGAACTAAAATGACAGCTGGCAATGTGTCACAGTACATGGGTTTTCCGTTTACCTCAGATACAGAAAATACCCCTGAATTAATGAGATTTAAGATTATATTTCAAGTATGACAAAGTTACTGTATTAGGTCTCCTTGCCCTTGGAAGTTGGCATTAATGTTTACGAAACTTTTTTCCTTCCTTTGTTTTTTTTTATGTCACTCTTACATAACATGAATGCAAAATATTTACATAACTTGAATGTAAAAGATCTAAAGGCATAAAAAAAATCTATATTTAAGTAAGACCTCAGAGACTGAGTTAAGTTTTATATCTCTGTTCATAATGAATATTACATCTGGTAAATACAGAAGCATCAAAACAGTGATCACAATTCATAAAATTTATTTTTTACATATCTCATAAAGCATTATCAAATATTCCTCCTTTTTAAAAAGTGAAAATCATGTTAATTTTCCAAAATACAGGCATTCTAAAACAATAAAAGGTTCTGTACTGCTGTCTGTCTCCTGCTCAGACAGAGAAATTGTGCAGGGGATGATGGGCCTTAATTTAGTCTTCACTGATAAGTACTTTTAAGACTAAATATTCTTGAAATTGCACTTATTTAAATTACACTCAAGCTCCCTGTAAATCTAAAAAAAGATTATAAGGAGGGGAAATAATTTCAAAAGGTCTAGCGAGCTATCAGAAAATTGCTCTACTATATCTCTTCAGATTTTTTCTATTTTTTAAGTCAAAGAATTACTGGCATTTAAGAACATTTTTGAGAAATCTGTTTGATACATTACAGGCCCTAGAAACTCTTACTGTCGTATATACCCTCAGATTCACTACAAGCACATGCCCCCAGACACCAAGTCAGAGAACTAAGGGGTTTATCAACAAACCAGGACCAAAAGGAAGCTGGAAGAAGGGATCTTTTACTATGTTTTCTGTAGATGTCACTGAAAACTGAAGATCTATCTGTTCATCTTGCTTTACCACTGTAGTGGGAATAGCAAAAACTTTTTCTCTGAAATTCCCACTGAAAGCTTTCTTTTCACCTTGCTAGACCATGTGTTCAGGTTTACACCCTACACTACCTCAGCATAAGAAAATTCATTTACAGTGAAGCAATAAGATACTGTTTTCAGGCTGGATACAAATGTTAGTTAAACCACTGGTGCCTTTTAAGAAAAGCTTGATATAATTTCCACTCTTAGTAACCGTGGGAATTGCACATTTTCCTTGCTTTTGTGGTAACATTGCTGTGTACTTAAGCATGCACATTTGGACACACAGATTAATTACAAGGCAACAGACTTTACATAACTGTGCTGATTAGAAATCTCACTCTTTGTTTTGCAATAAGCTAAAGTGCATGAAAAATTGAGGAAGTATAGAACAGAGAAATGACCTACCGTGGTTGTCTTTATCCGTCCTCCTGGTTGTGTACAGGTCCAGCCTGATTTATTGATTAGCAAATCACAGCCTTCTCCTTCTAAACATGGAAGCATTTCACACCACTGTTTTGTTTTGATAATTCGTGCTATGGAACAGAAAAGGAAGAAAAAAAACAAAACCAAAACCAATTGGCAAGAGAATTCACATTTCACTTATCTCTAAACACTTTCTCATTTGAGTTGTCTATTTTCATCATCTGATAATTCAGCAATAGGTTATGATGTAGACAGCCCTAGGCAATTTACAAAATTATTTAGAACACCTGCTGTTCCAACAAATTTCATTTCAAACTTTAAAACCAAAAATAAAACAAAAGACAGCTCTATTATAAATCAAAATAACATAGAAACTAGCCATATTTCTAATTTCATGCTCCTTCCAATCAAGTAAACATTGCTGGAGGAGCTAACAATTGAAAGCTTAGTATCCTAATTAATCATTACGGTAGCCTAAAAGTGACCTAGAACTGTGATCTATTGTGCTATATTCTCTATAAACCTGAGCAGACACTCTTTATCCTGAAGCACTTACAGTGTATCTAGACATGAGACTTACAGTGGAAAGAGAAAAGGTATAATAAAGAGTTAGAGGTGTCAACATACTGACAGCTACTGTGAAACTGTGCTATACTTGCACTGGTAGGGGTACAGTTAGGGGCAGAAACTAAAAACATAAGAACAGGTGTTGAATGAAGCAAATGTTGAGAAATGGAGTAGACAATAAGCAGAGGGAAAAGACAGGAACAAACACCCTATTACCCTATTACTACAAGGGGAAAAAAGTCTAGTTAGGAAGCTCGCTGACTGAGAGGTGGTGTGATGAGTGTTTTGTGTCTCCTCTTAATACTTGAGTAACTGGCAAGCTGGTTCTGCAAAATTTCCTCAAGGTCATACACAGCAAGTAATCTTGGGACAACAGAGCTCTGGCTGCAATAAAGTAAAAGCAAAGGAGCTGTAGAATGAAATTTTTCTTCAAGGCAGGGAGACTTCTGTAGACTTTTTTCTGGACTACAGTACTACTGCTTTTGAGCTCACCTTTGTAGTATCTGTGTTCCTTCTCATATAATAGTAAACAATATTACTAATATCTAGTATTTAATCATTCTTTCATTCTCCCCCTGCAGACAAAATTGTAGAGTGGAATGTTTGGGATACTTTCCATAAAATACATATACAGAGATACTCTCACTTGCATGGTGCCATATACTCATGCAAAAAAAGGTAAGGTCCCCCAAACTAACTTCTACTCAGACTGTAATGCTCACAGTCCACAGAAAATGGTCCCCACTTCCTTCAGAGATCATCTCACCAATTCTTGGCTGAAGTATAAGAAAGCTTCACCACTTCAATTTGCATGTAATCTCAGGACTAAAGGGCAGAACTTGTTCCACATACAGGGACACAGATCATGTCTTCTGCTATGTTGACGTGTACACACAACATCTCTTCAATAGTCATGAACCCAATAAAAAGAGAACTACAGCAGAGGTACTTAGCAAAACAAGGGTACAAAAAGCTTATGCTGCTCCTAATTAATTCGGGGTCCAATGAGATTAAAAGCAGGCATTTATCCCAGTTGCAGCTTTATGCTGACCTGAACATGTCATTCAGCCTGACCTCCTCTGTCTGGAACTGCTTAAGAAAACAATTCCCAATGCCACTGCATCATGACAAGAAATAAAATTAATAAAATCCTTTCCAATATTTTGACATGAAATAACTTGTATCCTCAGTTTCAGTACAATTGTTGGTATGGTCTAACAATATAACAAACACTGATTTCTTTCAGTGGAAGAACAATCTGAAATTCATATTAAGGTTTTCATTATAAAAAACACCTTAAACCCCAAATGTCTACATAGGAATATGCGTTGTTCATTAGGCAACATATATCTCACTGTTGGAATGATTCCCAAACAATTTTCATAACTACCATTTTTTGAAGCAAATACACTAAGTTTTTATAGCACATAATATGCAGAAATCTGGACTGTGCTCAGGCTCCATAGATAGTGCATTACTGATAAGTGGATCGTATCAGTTTTTGAGGCTACCATCTCCTCTGTAACAGATAATAGCCTCATCCTTTCTCAGTGAAGGCATGCATGCAATTGCAGGCTTAACAGAAAAAGCTCAGTAACATGTTAACGCCAAACCTCACCTATTTGCATGCATATCTTTTGTAATTCACATATTGAAATGGCTATTTCTATCAATGTTCCAACAATATGAAAGATCACTAAATAACTGAGTAGTCAGTTAAACTAAGAAATATGTACTAGATTGTTTCTACTATCTCAGCTGGGAGGTTTTCCTGGAAATATAGTATGAACTAATCTTTAAAAAAATAAATTATCTCCTCCATTAATTACTCTCAAGGTTTCTATCTCAGAATGCAGCTATTGATATGATCACAAATATATGGGATGCTTGCTCCGAGTATTGGCTATATCTGCACAAATTTAAAACACACTAAGAGTATTTTACAGAACATAAAGTCTAAAATATTTCTCTGCTAAGGGTATAGACCAGCTCATGTATTTAGACCTTGAGAATCGGAACAACTGCTTTTGCAGGGAAAAGCTACTCAGTTCACATGGTTTAAAACAAATCAGTATCAAAACAGCTTATTAATTTATTAATGAAACATATCCAGAAGTAGCATGGATCAATAGCAGAACACAAAAAAGAACCATACTACTAGACACGAAATGTTCATGAACACTTGGAAATTTTCCTGAATACCCCCTCAGGACTAAGCCCAAACACATGTGGCAGACAGCAGCACCCCTGTGTCCCTGTATGCCCTGCTGATGCCAGCATCACCACTCTGCTTCCCCCCACGGGTCTCTTTCCTGTTATAGGTTTCCATGTTCCCTTCATTCTGCTTCTCCACCCACCCCCCGCTTTGATTCAGAAGCCTCACCAAGACACAGGCCCTCACACAGAGTGGCACAAGGGCCACTTGTCTGTAGATCTGTTTTCTTTTATTTTTGCTTTATGGTTTGCCCATAGCAGAGTATGAGAGTGAAGCTAAATATGTAATATAGGGAGGGAGCAAAGTGTACAACGATTTTTATCAGCATAATATCAAAGAATTTTCATCAGTAATTGAAACTGAGTTACACTAGTCAAAGCAAAGGAATATGGTGTATTTCCTGAGGCAGTGTAGTTGCCTTTTTACTATGTATATTCACCAGGGGTGAAATTCAGCCCTCTGCAGATGAGAGAGCAAAAAGCCTCTCAGATTCTTCAAATCCACTCCAAGCTCCATTATAAAGAATTAAGTGGCACTTAAATGATACATAGGTTTTGTGCAGACCTTCTGCAAAGAACTGAATTTCAGCATAAGAATCTGAGTTCACACTACTTTGCATTTCCTAAGAAGGGCTGAGCCCCTTCACTTAAACTGAAGTTAATAGGAACTGATGGTGCTCAGCACATGGCAGAATTACTTTCCTGGGTAATGCCATGTGAACTGGAGAACAAATAGAGTCTATCCAAGGGTTTTTCATACAAACAGTTCTAAGACATTGGAGGCAAGCAGAGGTTATATCTACATAAGGCCAAACCACCCACCAAAGTGATCTTAACTCTTTTGTAAGACAGAGCAATTTGCAATGGATTTCCAGTTATTAGTAAAAAAGTCTCCATTCATGATCAGTATAGTCCAACTTAAAACTGCTCAACTGAGTAGTGTTTCAGAACATCACAGAAAAAGAATGAAAATCTGGGTTTAACAGAAATGGTGCAGATTGCACCATGCACAAAGTGTCTTTGGGACACAAGAAAATTGTTGCAGAGCTGGAAACAAAACCTCTGAATTCTTAGTGGTCACTAGATTGGAGACCTTTTGTGCCGCATTTTCCTTCAGAAAGAGAATGTGTTGTAATATAAAAAATTAAACAACAATAAAAATATGCAAAGTAATAAGCTTTTAAAACATATATCAGTTAAACTGCAGCAGCAGGGAAGAGGCCATCAGAAAGACAAGCCAAATCACAGTACAATAAGGCATTGCAATCGTGAACTGTCTTTAGAGCAGCAATTTGACTGTAATAGTGTATAAGCCCCAAACATCAATCTATTTTACTGTACAACAAGAAAACAACACAAACCTTGGATACCTTTTACAGCAGTCATGCTGTTTCACTTAAATAAATGGAAGCAGTACTAATTCACAATTCTCAATTATTTCTAGGACATCTAGACCAAAGACTATTTATTTCTAAGAACAGCAATACAGCAATGTCTAGACACCCATTTTATCATTTATCTCTTGCTGCCAAGACTGGGAGGGTTGCTTTAGCTGAAGTTGAGAAATATATGGGAAAAACTGATCTCTTGTGGTCTACAGTGAAGCTACAAATTGAGACCAGGTAACTAGATCAAGAGCAAAGACTGAATGACAAGGCAGAGGCTTTTCCTGCAGCTCACCCCAATCATAGTTCCACTGAGGGAGAAATCTTACTGCAACCTAAGGTTGAGAAAAGACCTTCAATGTTCACCTGTACACCGAAAAAGAATGAAAATCTGGGTTTATCAGAAATGGTGCAGATTGTACCCTGCACAACATGTCTTTCGGAGGAGAAGGATAATACTCAGGAGGTAATCTCCAAATTATGCACTCACCCATAACAATCCTAACTAGGACTCCCTAAGTGGCACTCCTGCCAGCTACATGAATAGTCCCTAGGAATTTAGCTGAATCAACTGGCATAAGAAATTGTTGGATTAAACTGAATAAATATAGGAAGCTATTTAGTAAGTCACAGCAGCAAAAACCACTTTAATTTTTTTAAAAAAGTAAACCCAAACTTTTAAACTACTGCATTTAGCAAGACATCCAGTTATCTGTTCAGTTTTAAGAGGTGTGTAATGTTTTGTTGAATCTTCACAACATTCTGTGAAATAAATATATACTGACAGGTTAAAAACAATTAAGCAAACAAAAGCTGAAGTAGAATCCTGTTTCTAGGAGCACTCTCATGAAACTCAACAGCTCTTATCTTCGTTCCTGTTTGTGTCTCCAAATAGAAGAATTTCCTCATTATGATGCCTGAACAATAAATAAATAAACAATGAA